TACAAATTCTCTTTTTTTTTTTTTTTCAGTTATTACAAGCATACCCTTTATTGTTCTCTTTATTTTTTAAAACAAATTGAGGACAAGCTTTATATATACTTGGAGTATGTCTCTGGTGGTTCTATCTATAAACTTCTTCAGGAGTATGGCCAGTTTGGTGAGATTGCCATTCGTAATTATACGCAACAAATTTTGTCGGGGTTGGCTTATTTGCATACAAAAAGTACTGTGCATAGGTTAGTCATCTTATTAGTTTTCTTATACCAGGAGCACCATGAATTTTTTTTTTAACTCTATATGGACTATTGTTCTCATGGTTAGCCTTTGATCTCTTTCAGAGACATCAAAGGAGCTAATATATTGGTAAATCCCAATGGCCGTGTGAAATTAGCAGATTTTGGGATGGCGAAGCATGTAAGGATCTTCTTCTCTAATTTCATCTTTGAGTGGTTTTTTTCTCTAAAGAGATGCGACATGTCAAATTTATGTATTGATAGTTCCAAAAAAGGGAAACACTGATATGTCATTGTAATCTAGCAGTCTACCTAGGTATTCTTGTTTGGTTTACAATGGAAAAGAAGAAAGGGAAGATGTCTGAAAAGAAAATTGTTATGCTAGTGACATTAAAGTCCTATTTGGACATTTTGTGCCTATTAATAATAACCTGCATTCTAAAGTATACTCTTTCCAAAAACATCAGATTACTGGCCCGTCCTGTCTGTTATCATTCAAGGGAAGTCCATATTGGATGGCACCTGAGGTCAGCCTATATTTCTTGTCATGCTCTTTGTTTACCAATCTTTCTTGTGCTCTTTTGTAATTAATATTATTTTTCTAAATTCAGGTTATAAAGAATTCAAGTGGAAGTAACCTTGCTGTTGATATATGGAGTCTTGGTTGCACAGTTCTGGAGATGGCTACGACAAAACCACCTTGGAGCCAGTATGAAGGGGTTAGTGAATCTTTTGGTGCTATAGTATTAAAACTATATTTCTTTGTAGAATATAGTTATGTCAAACATTATTTCATGTTTTTGAGTTTTGGTGTTACTTTTGTGTGCTTCTTAAGGTGGCTGCTATATTTAAGATCGGGAACAGCAAGGAACTTCCAGAAATTCCTGATCATCTATCAGATGAGGGAAAGGACTTTGTGAGACAGTGTTTACAACGGAACCCATTGCATCGTCCTACAGCAGCTCAACTTTTAGAGCACCCATTTGTTAAAAATTCTGCACCACTGGAAAGGCCTGTTTTGAATGCTGAGCCTATGGAAACACAACCTGCAGTAACCAATGCTATAAGAACACTGGTACAAACTTGGTTTGATTTTTTGTGTGCTTGGTGCTGTATCCTGTTGTAATTCATATCAGTTACGTAAAT